GGATACTTATCACAGAATCTGCATTTTGGGCTGACACAATATTTTAGTATATGTGCTTGATAATTCCTAGTTAGCAAGCATTGGTCCTGCGCAGCAAGGATAAAACCTTCAGTTTCCGCTTTCAATCCTGCACTACGTAGCCACTGATGGGTACGGGTTTTGTCCACGTCAGCTTGTTTGGTACGGGCAGAGTATTGGCCATGAAGCGGTTTATCTTGCCATCGCTTCTGTATCTGGTCGGTTGCATTCGTCTTTGCTGTCTTTTTTTAGGTATTTTGCAGTTTCAGCCGGTGTATTGTGCTGTAGTTGCATCTCTACGCCCATTTGAAACTCCATTTTGAATTTGTTGGGTTCTTCCATTACGGAGTAAAGACGCTTACTACTTTCATGTTCCTTGACGCATACCATCATCCAGTCTTCTGTCGTTTCCAAATATCTTTGGAGGCCAATTGTTGTAGTTTTGTAGGACAGTTCTAGTTGAACTAATCCTCTGCCTCCTTCGGATCTGGGCACATACAGACGATCAACATCAGCTTTGGGGTGATGCATGCGATAGCAAGTGAGAAGCTTTCTCATTTTGGCGTCCATTCGCTTAATTTCAGCTCTGGTCCAGTTAAGGATATTAAAGCTGTATTGCACCACAGGGACAACCAATGTGTTTATGGCTGATATCCTGTTTTTTGAGTTTAGCTCAGTATTTAGTACCTGTAGTACTCTTTTCTTATTTTTTCCTTCATTTGGGTGTGTTGTATGCCATCTCCTTCGCTAATTTCTAGGTACTTATAAGCTTCACCATGCTCCAGTTCCCTAATCTTTGTGACAAAATCTAAATCTATTAAGGGTGTTTCTGTAATTCTACCTTTCTTGAAAGTTACTTTTGCACATTTATCTAATCCGAAGTTCATACCTATGTCGTCACTGAAGTATTTTACAATATTGAGGAGGCCTTTCAACTAATTGTCGTCTTTGGCAAAGAGTTTGAGATCATCCATGTAGAGGAGGTGATTGAATATTTTCTTATTTATTTTGTAACGATAGCTACTGTTGTTCAGTTCATGTGTAAGAGGGATTAAGGATAAACAAAACAGAAGGGGTGACAGAGAGTCTCCTTGAAAGATTCCACGTCGGATATTCAGACGGTTGGATATGGCAGTGCCCCCGGTGTGACTAAGGTATAGTTTGGTGTTCCACATTCCCATGCTGTGCTTAAGGAAATTTAATACCACAGGGGAGACTCTGTACATTTCCAAAGTCTTAAGGATCCAAGAATGTGGAACACTATCAAAGGCTTTACGATAATCAATCCACGCTGCACTTAGATTCCTGCGTCGTCTCCTGCAATTTTCCAGGATCATTTTATTTATCAGAAGTTGATCTTTGCAGCCATATGAACCTCTTCTGTATCCCTTCTGTTCCAGCGGGAGAATGCTGTTTGTTTCGAGAAAGGAATAAGTACGGTTCGTCAGTACAGACGTGATCAACCTATACGTTGTGGAGAGACATGTTATCGGTCTATAATTTTTCTGGTCTTGTGTTTCATTTGTTTTTGGTATGAGGTGTGTAATACCTTCAGTAATCCATTCCGGGATTTTATTGGATTATTTACAAGCGTTGATAATATTTTTGCAAGAATTTCATGGGTAGATGTGAGATGATACAGCCAGAAATTGAGCAACTTATCATTTCCTGGGGATTTCCATTTTTGGGATTTCGTTAGAGCTTGCCTAACATCATCTGTGGATATATTTTCCCATTCTTGCAGAGGTGTATCCAGCATTCGTTCTTCTTCACGCCGTATCCACTCTGCATTTGGGTTATACTCCTTTGGGCTGCTCCAAATATTTTCCCAGAATGTCTGTACATTATCAATCGATGGTGGCCTTTCGACATGCATAGGTGTTTTTCCAATTTCCTATTATTATTATTATTATTATTATTATTATTATTATTATTTTCTTTGATTTCTGGAGTTTACACATTTCTTTCCGGGTCCTGCCCAGGGACCTAAGGTTAGAAATGGCATCATGACACTTTCCACTGACAGAAAAATTACATCGATAAAGCCCTTCGTAAAGTGTGGGCTGTACTTGTCAGAACAATTTTTTGTATCTCCTTGAGGCATGGACTTCCAGGAATCCCTTCAATTAGTCTACTGCAATCTTTTCCAACCAGTCCTAAGGCTCCAACTACAACAGGGATAGTTGATGTTCCCATATGCCACATTTTTGAGATTTCTATTTCAAGGTCCTTGTATTTTGACAACTTTATTATTATTATTATTATTACTATTATTATTACTATTATTATTATTATTATTATTATTATAAAACAAATAAAGACTGATGGAACTCAGAAAAGTAAAAACAAGAGCGCGTTTTAAGAAAAGAAAAAAGTTATATTTGAAATATTAAAAAAATTTAAAATTTAAAAAAAACTTGAAGACAGATATACTGTCGAAATATTGTTTAACATTGTCAAACACTGTGTTTTTCTTTTCTTTTCTTAAATCGCGCTCATTTATTATTATTATTATTATTAATATTATTATCATTATTATTATTATTATTATTTCCATGGATTTTTGCTGTATATACATTTCCTTCCGGGTCCCAATCAGTGACCTTAGTTCAGGAATGGTTTCATGGTAATTTCCACTGATCATTTTTGTAAAAGAAAGACAAAAATAACTTCAGCTTACACACATTTTACATAAATAAACCTATTATTTTTTTGCGTATGTTATGTTTCCTGCTTTGTATCCTGTAAAGCCGGGTCTAAACTATGGTTCTTAGGCCCTATTGGAGAATTGTCATTTAATTGATAGCGCTTTCCATAGTACATGCGATGTTCCTAGTAGGGCGATCTTCTGGGCAAATTTGTATGATGATGTTTACCTGTTAGTAAAATTGTCCATTCCTTTTCTCACGAGGCTCAAAACTCAGTAGACTATTGGTACAGTCTCAGTCTTCATTCCACATGCCCTGTCGATCTCCAGCTCCTTGCATTTCTTGATAATTTCCATGAAGTTGTTTCTCTCAGATGGTACTGCTATGCTAATAAGCATACACTTCCTGAATTTCTTGTTTTTGTATGTTAATATCAGGTCTTTTGGCTGTTATTTTCTTCTCAATTTGAATTTGCATGTCCCAGAGGATAGTAAAATTGTTATTTTTTGTAACTGTGACTGTTTGGTGCTTATAATATCTCTCAGTGGTTTCAATTTTGTGCTTCTTGCATATCTTCCAATGCACATATGTAGCTACTTGTTACGTCTGTGGGTATATTCATTTTTTGCCAATTCCGGACATCCAGAGATAGTATGGTCGACAGTTTCATCATATTCTCCGTTGATCTTGCATTTCGGGTTAGTTCCATCCTTGATTATGTGACAGTGATAGGTTTTGGTTGCGAGGCTTTGGTCCGGAGCTGCAATAATGAGGACTTCTGTCTCAGCTTTCGGTCCGGTGTTCCTCAGCCACTGACGTGTTTTCTGTTGATTCACATCCGCATTTTTCTTTCTTTCTTTCTTTCTTTCTTTCTAGGTATTTTCCACGTAACGCCTTATTCTCACAGTATTTTTCTGTGATTTCATTTGGCCAATTTGTTTTGTTTTCTGTCATAGTCGTTTGGCGAAGATAGTATTCACTTCAATCTTTTTGTTGGTAGGGTTTTAGGTACATTAAGCTATTTCTTGGCTGATGGAGTGCATTTAGTGTTTTACTATTTGTAGGAGAGGGTCATTGGTTTTTTGTGAGGTATACTTCCAATCCGATTGTTGGAGTTTTTAAAGTTAGTTGAAGTTAGATTAAACCTCGGCCTCCTAAAGCTCTTGGTACATACAGCCTATCAACATCTTATTTCGGGTGGTTCATCGTCATTTGGGTAAGCATTTGTCTTGTCTTGGCGTCCAGTCTTTTAATGTCATTCAACTTCCATTTGAAATTTCTACTTCAAGATAAAGGTATTTTGATAGTTATTTGAAGATTATCAAAGATATATTACAATCTGCATGGACTGGCATGTCAATAAGAAAGCAGATTCTGTTTTTGTGGTCTTTGATCTTTGATGTCTGGGGGATTAGCTTTGATTGTTCTGTCTCTGTACATTGTAAAGATAGTTACAGGTCCTATCTCTGTAACCAGGTTTGGGTGATGTAGAATAAGTGATTAAAGAATTTGTCGTTTTTCTATCCATTTGTATCCATAATTATTGCTGTTTCATGTGAAACTGGAGGATCGACATGGAGTCTCCTTGAAAATTCTTCGTCGAATATTCAACTGAAATCTTGTTCGATTGATTGCACGCACATGTCATCAAATAAGGTCAATTGGTAAATCTATCAATATAATTAAGTAGTAGCCCTGACAAGTGGGAATTGGACCTCTGATGTCAATGTGGATATAGTTAAATCGCATGTCAGGCGCAGGAAAAAATGCAGGGGTGATTACGTATGGCTAACTAATTTTGCTTTTTGAAATGGTAGGCAGTCTTTTGTATCCTTATTCATGCCAGGCTATGCGTCATTTTTTGTTAATCAGCCTGCAGGTAGCTTTCATAGCCAGGTGCGATACTGAGAATAGAGTGTTGAATATTATTCTATGGAGGCTTTTCCGAAGAAATGTCGCACCAAAAAGATTTCTCTGCTTTCAGATCATATATCTCCTCCATTTTTAGCGATGAAGTATTCCCTTCTACGAATTGTAGCTTTTTATCATTCTTTGGTGTTGATATTATTGCTTCAAAATCAATGACAGGACTTATGCCAATTAGCGCGATGTTTCTTGAAAGAGTTTCTGCCCCTGAAGAGTCTTTTATATGTCGAATATCAGTCGTGATGAAATCGAGGTGTTTTAGTTCAGGAGTGTGTATTTTTTTTGCCTGAATTGCGTCAACACCTGCAAGTATCTTCCTTCTAAATACTGATGAAAGTGTCGAATTACTCAGCCATCAATTTACTGTATCGGGATGCAAATTCCGACGATTTCTTATAAGAATAGACTTACGGTTACATCATGTTGAAACATCGGTCTCCGTACGATCACCGGAGTTAAGTAGCATTGAGCCTGGTCAGTACCTAGATGGGTGACCGCTTAGAAGTACCAGCAGCTGTAACCTTGGATATGTGGGTGGTGTAATTGACCATGGCTCGAAATTGTTAATCGGAGAGCCGAGTTTCAATTCCCGTTGGCTCCGTTACATTCACTTACGCGCAAATATTAATGGGAAAGGTATAAAACAACCTCTTCTCCCTCCAGCTAGGGATTAATTAATAAGAATTGTATCACTGAACCATTATTAACTCCACAGAAATTCTTACAATCAAAAATATTTTCTGCCTTTAAATAATTTGCAAAGCGTTGATAAGCCGTAAAAACGAATCAATCAATAAATGAAATAATGATTAGTTACACGGACATGTCTTTCAGATTTATTCCCAATCTCTGGAATATGCATGTATAAGAATCAACGTGGGCACAAAGTAAATATATATATATTTATATATTGATTGCAATATAGAATTGATCACCTACTTTATAACTACGTTATAATTTCTTGTCAGTTTATCAAATTCTGTTCTGTATCCGCTTCTTCTCCCCCAAAAATATGGGTTAATTAGTAAAGCTTGTATCATTAAACCATTATTATCTAAAAATTTTAAAAATTCTGACAATCTAAAAATATTTTCTGTCTTTAAATCGACTGCAAAGTGTGTATAAGTCGTTGAAAACAGATCAATCAATTTGATAAGAATGGCATCTGTAACCATGTGTTTTCTGATCATTGTTGCAAAACTGCACCTATGATGAAGCTTGAGACATCTATTAAAAATGGTAGTTCTGCCTTCTGGTTTGGAAAGGTGAGGTTATTAACGTTTCCTTAGCCAAATTGAAGGCTGACTACTCTGTAGCAGAGAGTTGTATGTCTCAGTTCTTATTTTACCTTGTAGAAGATATGCCAAAAACAAAGTGTTTTCAAGTTTGTAATAAATTCCTGGTAAAAGTTAACCATTCCAGGAAAATGACGTAAAAGTTTTTGGGTTTATGTAACTGAGAATCAGGTACAGTTGAGTTGGCTAGATGTAACCGTAAATTCTATACTGTTTCTTTTATTGCACTTGACTTGTAGAACACCCTTCCGATCCAAACAACATTAATCTTCAAAAATGCAATGTCAATAGCTATCTACTGTCCTCCTGATTAATCTTCTTTTGTTCTCTTCCTTAGCCATGTTTCTGTTTCTATCTCTTTCACAATCAGTAGCCTCTTGCATCACAGTGACTTTACTGTCTTGCATAGGGTGAACTCGATTTAAAAAAATGTAAAGGTGTTTTTCACGTAAAAAGTCCTCCTAAGTTTAAACACATTTACATTTGATGGGGTTTACAATAACTCGACATTTGTGGAATCCTCCGAAAATTAACACTAAACGATGCCTAGGTTCTGTCAGAGAAGTGTTGGTGATAAGGGCATTATCTGTGTAGTGGGAAAAATGAGTGAAGCCCTTGTAGAAATTGATTCACGAACCAGTGAAAAAATTATGCCGCAATGGTATTGTAAGTCAGTAAAAATATCGTGTAAAGCGTGTGAAATGTGAAGAAACTTGTTGTCACTTGGTCCCCAGCAAAAACTACTAAAACCTTTCGGCGTAGCAAGACACATATATTAATAATTAATTAACGAGATTATTAACCAATTGTATATTAGCTTTGTAATTCTGTGAAAATGAATCAAACCTGTCATGGCTGACAATGAGGTAACACCACTTAATATTTACCGAATTTAACAAGGAATATTTAGAAAAAGAAATCGGTAATCCTTCCATACATATGCTCCTTTTTATTTTAATATTTTAATATTATTTCGATTTGTAATCATAATTTATATATATATATATATGTATCATCCTAGGATAATTCTAGTGTGTCAAACAGGATGTGAGCAATCATGGCTCTCAACAATTTCCTTTTATCTAAGCAACCGTTACTTTTAACCCTTTACCATCCATCCTTGCCTCTGCCCTGCCATCTATTCAGACTCCTGAAGTTGGTAGTTGTTTCCCTCAAACCTTACTTTACTTGGTACGTCCTGTGAGTATTTAGTTCTCCAAGCTGTCTTTCCTCATAATGGGTTAGAGAAATATCAACAGTCTAGTTCTGATTTTAAGTATGAGTGTCTATCTAGTCGCCGTTTTCTTTCGAAACTCCCTTGTTGTTCACGTGGTCTGTTCATAGGATTCTCAATACAAGTCCGTAGAACCACATCCGAATCTCTTCTTCATCTGTAGAGTAATTGTCCAGTACTCACTTTCATACAGAAAGACAGGTATCAAGTAGCGGTTCAGCACATTTCCTTTATTTCTAATATTTTTCTTAATACTTTACTGGGAATCTGGAAAGCATCTTTCACAAATGCGGCCTGCTTTCAGGTCTCTGTGTATATATATATATATATATATATATATATATATATATATATATTTGAGTTAATTTGTGCAAAATGATGACGTAATAATGTCGTTTTTTTGACGTCCAAAAAAAATACGTCCAAAACGACATTATTACGTCATTATTTATATATATATATATATATATATATATATATATATATATATATATATATATATATATATATATATCCCTGGAGTAAGATATCTGACTGATCTCAAATCAGTCGGCTTTCGATCCCGGCTTGAAGCAATCAGACATCTAGCCACACGGAGGAGCTGTGATACAACGAAACAGTCTGTCTGTGGATTACAAAATATGCTCCCGGAAATCCGGTTGAGCTCTCTAGGGAAAGGGGATTTGGAAAAACAGCTGCTCCTATTGCTCTTAAGTATTACTCTTCAAGTATGAATTGAGTTCTCCTAGCCGCTGGCGTATTTTGTATAGAAAAACATTAAAATTCCCTTCCTTTCTGTCGTGCGACGATGGCTAGAGGTAAGATATCAGTCGGGCTTCGATCCAGGCTTGTAGTAATCGGACGTCTAGCTACACTGAGAAGCTGTGATACAGCGAAACAGCCTGTCTGTGGATGACTATATATATATATATATATATATATATATATATATATATATATATATATATATATAAGCATTTCATCCCAAGCGAGAGTGCCACTAGTACACAAGTGGTTACAGAGATTAAAAGTAAGGTAAAAGACTAAGTGATTGAGGAAAGGATAAAAAGAAGACTGAAGGAATCAGAAGATGTCGATTGATATTACATTTAAATTTTTGAAGATTATAGTTGTCTGGGAAGCAAGTAAGAGGAAAGGAGTTCCACTGTCTGGAAGTTCGAGTGAAGAAACTGTTGGCGTAAACGAGGCGATTAGATTTAATTGTTTTAACAGTAAAATGATGGGACCGGAATGCCAATCTAGTATTGCACTCTTATATTCGTGCAATCGGGGCACAAGTGAAAATAGCTCGTCAGATCAGTTACCATGAAAATATTTGTAGAAAAGTCCGAGGGAAGCCACATCAAATCTGTGAGAAAGTGACTTCAGTCGAGATGCGAAGTCAGTTTATATAGTTTGTTCTTTTTTAATTCCCTTTCGTTCGTTTTTTTTTCAGGTAGTCGTTAAAAGTAAATATTATTGATCCCTGGCGCTTAATGAAAATAATAACACTGCAATAAAAAGCGCATAGAGACTAAATCGGACACACAGGTCCAGTGGAATTAAAGTACTAAGTGTTTAAATAAATAACACAACGTCGTGTTTGCATCTGTGCCTGTATCAAGAAGTTTAATTCAAGGTTCATAGGAAGTGGGTAGACGTAGGGCAAGGCAGTCCAAAGGCTAGATGGGCAACATTAAAGAATGGACCAGGATGGACACTTCGACGCTGTTTCGTGAAGCAGAAAACAGATCTTGGTTTGCGGCGACTGGCTGCATTCTCATAGCTCATGGTTCCTTCCACGATCAGCTTGGTCATGAGATAAGAAGAAGATGCCATCACTGATTTGATTCTAATTCTAGATCATAGTTTCTCTTTTGGAAACGTTTATCTTGAGTTCTATTTCTTGAAATACTTGGCAGTGTATCTGTCTATATTTCTGACATGAGGTATTCACACTATTTACATCGTTCGGACTGTTCTCATCTTTATTGCCATATTGACAATGTTTCGGCTGTTGTACACGCTAGCTTTCGTCAGGATCTCTCTATATTTCTGAGATGAGTTATTGTAACTATTTACCCTATTTACATTGTTCGGAATGTTGTCCTCATCTTTATTGTGATATTCAGTCGTTATACGATTCGGCTTTCTTCAGGATCAGTCTATATTTCTGAGATGATTTATTGTAACTGTTTACACTATTTACATTGTTTGGACTATTGACCTCATCTTTATTACCATATTCACGACATTTCGTCTGTTGTACGCTTCGACCTTCTTCAGGTGATATACGTTCCCAAGCCCAGTAGATAAAAACGTCAGCTAAGTAATCCAGAAAGTGATTTGATCCAAAGAGTTGTGGGTTCAACACAGCGAAGGGAACAAAAATTGGGAAATTAACTGACACTATGATACGCCCAATAAAAAAAGGTATGACACGTGGGATTAGAACAATCCGCCCCCAGGGACTAAATAAACAGTTCGGCTCGAAATACCAACGTATATCAACTGAAGAAGCATAGAACAGCCGAAACGTCGTAAATATATCAATAAATATGAGGTCAACAATCCGAATGATGTAATCTTTTGTAATTCAATCCTCCCTATACTCATTTTGACTCTCTGTAACTGCCTGCGTGCTAGTGGCATTCTCGCCTTGCTAGAGGTGAAATAATTAATAAAAAAAAATTGGTAATTTACTAGTAAATGTTGATTTTTGTTCAAGATCATTCTTATCCCAACTATGAATACATTTGTCATCAGCATCGCTCTCATTATCATCATCATCATCATCAGAACATTGGATTTGGGAGTGAAAGGAAAACCCTGATAATTGCATATATATGTGCTATGACAAGGCAGCCATTTTTTTTTAATCAAAAATTCTGAACAAAGAGAATAACTTGCCGTAACTATCATTTCATTTTCTTTTTGGTTTGTGTGTCACACAAACCATTGAGTCCGCCTGAGCAGACAACATAGAAATCT